GGTGTATAAAAAATATAAATTCTTCATATAACGTGATTGAACTGAAAGTGATAACACGGTGGGTAATGCGTTACATTACCGATAGATGGCAGTAATGCAGCACCTTGGAGTCCAAGCGTCCTGTAAGACACCAGAGAAGAAGAAGGGGACGCAAGCTGCGCTCACTCCGCCACCATGAACGCGCTCCGGGCAGTTTCTGCCTCTGGTTCGAAAGAATAAAGCCTTGTTATTTCTACAAGAGCTGAATCCCCTCGCCGGACCAAAGTAGATGCGACACCGAACCAATATCCTGGGTGAGGCGGCTGTTTTTCCTCCACGCTGCCCGGCAGAGACGCGGCTGGAGACGGCTTCGAGGCCCCCGCGCTGCGAAAGAACACCATTAGCTCCTTGGTCAGCTAACTTTAGCATTAGCATCCACTCGCTTGTGCTCCCCAGAATGAGTCCCGCTTGGTTAAATGCCGCCAGCCTCCAACTGGAGGGACTTTTAAAAAAAAACCCGTACGAACGCGAGACAAACAGTGAAGTTAAAGTCGTTCACTTAGCTTGGAATGTAAGCTAACGTTAAACTGTTAAACTAGCTAGCACTAGGACTCGCTTGCTAGATGTTAGCAGCAGTACAAGTCAACAACAGAGCGTTTACATTTGTGATTTACATGCTCTCATGTGCAGAAACCGATTGAAAAGCTGTTGCAGAAAGAACTATTCATTTAAATTTGAGCATCTCAGTCGTAGCTCCGTATGCTAAAATGCGTTTCTGTGCTCTCGGAATGAATGAAGTGAGGAATGGACGCGCATCAGCCAAAGTTGTACAGTTGTAGACGTGGTGTTTTTAATGCCTTAAGTCCATGAACTTGTATTTATAACATTGCTACTGAGAGTGGAGTTGTGTTGTTGCAGATGACCCCACGCGGACTTCTCATGAAGCTGTGTTTTGCGTTCAGTCCTGCAGAATGTCCAAGATCAGGCGGAAAGTAACAGTGGAGAATTCAAAGACCATATCTGACAGCAGCAGCACCACGACCAGCAGCACCAGCAACCCCGCCGCCCCCTCCCGCCGGCCCAGCGTGTTTGAAAGACTTGGCCCCAGCACTGGGAGTAATGCTGCTGATGTATGTATGAGTTTTATATTGTCTGTGGTGCGATTTATTGTTCATCTTTACAATTGTGTGAAATCAAAGATCAGGGTAGGCTATTAATGTGAACCCTAGTCTCCGTACTATGATGACTGTCTCTGTTTAGTCAGTGGATGTTGCTCTGTCTCATTAAACTCTTTGTTTGTCCGCTTCAGAGTCACTGTAGAAATTGGTTGAAGACTGGTAATTGCAGTTACGGCAACACTTGTCGCTACACACATGGAACTCAGCCACGGGGCAAGGGATTTAGCTTTAGCCGGTAAGACGGCTCCTTTTTTGCCTTTGCCATGTTGATTGTTTTTTTGGGGGGGGGGGGGTTTCTGTCTGTATCTACTTCAATGTATGATCTGTACAGTTGCATCACAACATGTCTGTGTTTTTTTTCTTTGTTTTTGGGCAAATGTCTCAATGGATAAGGTCAACCGAGAGGCCCACAGGTGATCTGCGGGAGAGGATGAAGAATAAAAGACAGGATGTTGACCCAGAAAACTTGAAGCGCGACTTAGACGAGCCCACATCCCCGACAGCAAGAGTGAGTTCTCTCACATTTGAAAGTAATCATCTGTGAGTGAATGTGTAGATATAGACCCTAATTTAAATGAAAAATGGCTTTGGTGCCGCTATTTATTTTGAATCTGAAGCTGACTTAAATTGTGTATTGTGCATGTAGTCTATGTACAAGAGGAAGCATAGGATTGGATGCAACATTTCAGGGTCATTCCAACATTAGTGTGTATGTATCTATATGCAGCAGAGAGACTCCTCCAGAGGCCGACACAGGGAGAAGGAGGACATAAAGATCACAAAAGAACGCACTCCAGCCAGTGAAGAAGAGCCCACAGAGTGGGAAGCCAATCGTGAAGGTTCAGCAGCTATATTTGTTAAATGTTGTGACCTGATGAATTGTCAGTGTCGTAAAGGCTCTCAAGTTGATTTTATGATATGATGTAAACTTAATATTATTAATATTGTCTTACAGACTCGGATATCGGTGACTACGACTACGAGTTATCCCTAGAAATGAAGCGCCAGAAGATTCAACGTGAGTTGATGAAACTTGAGCAGGAGAACCTGGAAAAGAGGGAGGAGATTGTCATCAAGAAAGAAGAGACCCCCGCCAAAATGAGAACCACCGCCTTGCCGAAGGTGTGCAGTCATGAGTTTCTCCCATTTTCAAAGTTTCCTCCACTAGAGTCCCCTAGTGCATTGAGGTAGTAGTCTATACGTGGGTCTCATGACCTGATTGTTCATGTTCCTCCCCTCAGGCCTCCCCAGAGCAGTTGAGCTCCAAAGATTCACCATCACCAAGGAAGTCAGGTGGCTCCCCGAAACACAAAAGTGGAACCAAAGGCCCAGGTTCTGGGAAGAAAGAGAAGAAGGCGTCCATATCTTCGCCTGTTTCAGAATCTACCAGGTGTGTCTTTTTGTTCACGTTTCAATTCTTTTGGTGTAGTAAGTGAGATATCCCAGAAATTATTCATTAGATTTTGGCAATATTAGATGAAATGGTATCTATCTTTTTCCAACCAGGCCAACAAAGGGGAGCCATAGTAAAAAGAAAGGACCCCGTACTCCGAGTCCTCCTCCACCAGTCCCTCTGGACCTCCCAGTGGTTGTGAAGAAACACAAAGGAAAGCACAAAAACAAGGAGAAATCTGAGGAAAAGCAGAAGGAAGGGAAAGATCGGGGACGAGATACAGAGAAACACAAAGAGAAGAAGGACAAACGCAGGTATATTGTGGACCTATTATGGGTTAACTGCTCCTGCAAACAATTCTTTTCAGTTATCAAGCTTAACTTGTAATCTTCATTCTTTTGAATCTGAACTTTGTACAGAGACCGATCAGACAGTTCCCACAAAGCCAAGCGGTCAGAAGAGCGTTCTCCCTCCAGATGTCCTTCACCCTCAGTGAGGAAGAAATCCACCTCTCCTAAAGCTTCATCCCATAAAACCCCTGTGCTGGTCTCCCCTCCTCGCAGGTTAGCACATGTAAAATAAAATGTAGTCTTAAACTTCTTCCATTATTCACTTTAAAGATGAATCACTAAATTCCGGGCAGGGAAACACTAATTCTTTTCTCGCTGCAGGTCTCCCTCTCTTCCACGCCACCAGCGCACCCCTACACCTCCCCGCCACCACTCCCCTTCATCCCACTCTGGCTCCTCGGCCCAGCGTAACTCACCGTCTCCTCGCCGGCGTCGCTCTTCCTCGCCCACCTACCACCGGAGCAGTGCTGCTGCAGGCTCCTCACCGCAGAGCTCCAGGCGCTCGAGGTCACCTCCAGCCTCCCATGACACCTCATCGCCCCACCGCCGCTCTGACAGATCAAGCCCTGGCCGCCACCACTCCAGGGGCCGCGAGAGGAGTCGTGGTGACAGAGAGAGGAGTCCGCCCGCCCAGGAGCGCAGACATGAGCACAGAGATGGTATCTGTATCTCTCTGTTATATACTCTTTTCCACATTGTGCTGTGAGGCTCTAAAGGCAAATCCAATTACTTGGTAACTAATCTTTGTCTTTTTCAAACAGACAGTCGCAGCAAGCGAGATAAAGACAGTGTCCGTGACGACCGGGACTATGACTCGGAACAGGTCTCATCACGTGACGACAGGGAGACCAGGGAGGCTCGTGAGCGACGGGACACTCGCGATCGAGGACGGGAAACTGTCAGAGACTCACGCGACCACCGAGACAGCAGGGATGTAAAGGACTCCAGAGAGAGCAGGACAGACACCCGGTCCAGTCGAGAGTCCCTGGAGCGACGGGATCGTGAACGAGAACGAGAGAGGGACCGGGAGAAGGACAGAGATCGAGAAAAGGAGCGAGAGAGGGAGAGGACTGATACTTACAGGAAAGATGAAACCACTCAGGACGACAGGAGTTATGGGAGAGGACATGGACGTGAAGATGGAGGGAGAGCTGAAGGGAGGACCGAGAACAGGACAGACAGAGCTGAAAGGAATGGACGAGGGAGAGGGCGTACAAATGAAACCTCTGATAAAGGTAATAACTGACATTACATTTAACTTTTGTTTAATTCGCAGCCACAAGACAAACTCGTACACTGTGTCCCTTTTTTTTTTTTTCTTACTGTATTTTATCATCTGTCAGCCTCAACCAGAAACTCAAGGGGTTCCCAACTGGAAAGTAGCCACGACAACTGGGAGTCCCGGAGCAGTGTGGTACGAGAGAGGAGTGTGGAGAGGAGCACAGATCGCAGCGCCACTGAAAGAAGCTCAGAGAGGGGCTCAGACCGAGATCGCTATGAGGGTGACAGAAGAGAGCAGGCCCGGGACTCCTCCTATGACAGGAGAGGAGGGCACGGAGAGCGGGATCGCAGAGACAACCGAGAGAGAGGTGGGGTTTTGTTTGCTTTATTTTAAGTCTGAGTAAAGAGCAAGTAAGTAAATAGGGATGCACGTGCAGCTGATTGAAAACCATGTAGTGAGTATTGTATTTTTTTAAATCGGCAAAAAATTCAAACTTTCTGTTTTCCCAGATCAAAGAGCAGCTTCTCCAAACAGACACCAGGGGAGATCAGAGGAGTCTGAGAGGGAGGATAGGAGAGACGATCGCAGGACAGATAGAGTGGAAGAGAGGCGGGACGACCGGACCCGTGACCGGGAGCGAGAGAGGGAGCGGGAAAGGGACAGGGAACGGGAGAGGGAGAAAGAGAAGGACAGAGAGCGAGAGAGGGAGAGGGAGAGGGAAAAGGAACGAGAGAAGGAGAGGGAGGCTGCAGAGAGGGAGCGGGCCAGGGAGAGGGAGCGCGAGCGGGAACGAGAGAGGGAGCGGGAACGGGAGCGCGAGGAGAGGGAGAGAGAGAGGGAGCGGAAGGAGCGAGAACGGGAGAGGGAAAGGGAGAGGGAGCAGCGGGAGCGAGAGAGGCAGCGGGAATGGGAGGAGAGAGAGAGGGGGAGGGAGGAGAGGCGGGAGAGGAGAGATGACACCAGGGAGGAGCGGCCTGTTCGAGACACCCGGGACGATCGCAAGACAAGGCACGTATCCACTTCATTTATTTCTGCTGTACATTTCCACAGTATTCAAACTTCACAGGTGTTAAAGGAATGAAATCTGCTTTGTGAACCTGTATATTGAAAAACTGACTTAACTGTTATAATGACCAAACTTTGAAATCTTTTATTTCCTCCTTTAGTCGTAAGAGACCCAGGCTGGAGAACAGCCCGAGCCCCCGTGCCTCGCCAAAGCGAACAACCAGGGACCTCAGTCCGGCAGACAGCGACGGCTACAACAGCGGAGAAGACAAAAGTGAGCGTCCGACTGGCCGAGGGCAGGCCAAGCTCCACCCACAGCCCCTCCTCCCCAGCCCAGTGTGTCCGCCTCCATCTGACAGTAGGGACAATCTTTTTTGAAAGGACACGCTCCTGTTTGATGGGGAATGCGCTTCTCGTATAATGCACACACTGGAATCCACTTTAAACTATTTAAAGTATATTTTTTACTTGGTATAGCTTGAAAATTATCTTGCCTACTTCTGTCTTTTTGTTTTACACATCCCAATATTGGATGTCTCTCATTACCAATTGAATTGATCCATTTTAAAACAAAGTACACTAGAGTAAATGCACTTAAAAATTTAATTGTGCTGTTCCTCTGAATACAGTGGGGGATGGGGGGGAGAACCATTGTTACATTGTAAGACTCTAGAATTTGCTTTAGATCAACCTTTGAAGGACTGTAGTTGGAGAATGTAGTTATGTGATTGTTCTGTGTGCATGTTCAGGTGGTGACAAGCATCGTCTGCTGAGCCAGGTGGTGCGACCCCAAGAGCCTTTGCTGCGTTCTCCACCGAGGGCGGCTCCATCTGATGACAAGCTCAGTCACTGGAAGGATGAGGAGCGCAGAGGAGCAGTGGACAAACGGGAGACACGCAGTCGACAAGAAGACCCAGAGCCTCGTGGGGAGCGCAGCAGAGGAGGCGACAGGAGGGGAGAACTCCTTTCGGACATGCCAGAATCCCGTGGCAGAGGCAGAGACCAGCGAGAATCCACGCCACCTCCTCCTCCTCCTCCTCCTGCAGTCGTCACCACCAGCAGCGAAAACACCCCTGGAACCCAGTCCCACGAGGAAGGCAAGAAGAAGACAAAGTCACTGAGGAAAGGGCTGAAGAAGGGTCGCAAAGATGAAGAGATAAACACTGGCAACAGTTTAGCTCCAGTGGTGGACCGTTTTAACATTGAGCCCTCAACTGGTGCTTCTGCAGATGGTCCTCCTGCCTTGCACTCTCCCAGGAAAGTTCCCAAGAAAAAGGCGCTTGAAAGAAAGAGGAAACGCTCGCGAGGAGCAGAATCCGATGTATCTGAGGAGGATACTTCAGCCCATCAGCCACATAATAAGAAGAAGAGGGGTCCCCGGACCCCACCACCCTCGATGAGGCCCGATCACCGTGGTACTGGAGGCAACGTAGAGCCAACGCCTCTGCCAAAAATGGACAACTTCAGTGACTGGTCAGATGAGGAGGTCACAGCTCCCCTGGCTCCTGCTGAGCCTCTTAGGAGAAGCGGTGGTCCTCGGCTGGGCAGGGACAGGGAGAGGTGTAACCCACCACCCATTGCCCCACTGCTCCCCCAGGATCCGCCAATGCTTCTTCAGACTTTGACTCCACAGCCTCTCATGTCCCAGCCTCTGCTCCGCAAACCTCCTCCAGAGCAGACGCGTAGCAGCAGCATGGGAAGCAACCAGAGCCGAACATCATCTCGACGCCTGAGATCACCCTCTAACGAGTCTGCCCACCGCGACGACCCCCAGGGTCCACGATCCCGCCGAGGAAGGCTGCAGGGTACCAACTCCCGCGACCGGGAGCGAGAAAGAGAGCGGGAGAGGGAAAGGGAGAGAGAGAGGCCGGTTGTTAATGAGCCTCCTGCGGCTGAGAGGAAATCGCGAATTGACCAGTTGAGGAGAGGAGAGCCCAGCCGCAGCACGTCATCAGGTAAACTCACTCACAAACACCTCATGGAATTATAGTTCCTTCTTGCCAAATAAAGTAACAGTACAGACAACACAACAGTGGGTTACTCATTTAAAACCCTAACTTATTCTCATATCTGTTGTCTTATAGACCGGCAGGATTCTCACAGCCACAGTTCCAGACGCAGCTCTCCTGACTCCGAGAGACAGACCAGATCCAGGTCCCGCGCCGGCTCCTACGACAGCAGAGAGCGAGAGAGAGACAGGGAGCCGTTCGAGCGGGAACGAGACAGAAAGGACCTCCGGCCTCAGCCGCAGCAGCCGCAGCAACAGCAGCAGCAGCAGCAGCAGCCGCCCCTGCTCCTCCAGCAGCCCCTCCAACCACAACGAGACTGGGAGCCAGAACCAAGGGACTGGCCCAGCAGGGGACGAGAGCCCCTGCTCATGCGTCCCAGCCGCGAACCTCTCTTGAGGGAGCGTGACATCAGGGACAGGG